GAAGTAGATCACCAGGTCTTTCTTCCAAGTCACCTCTGGATGAACTCAAACTTCTAACCTTTGGGTTGGCAGTGAGTGTGTTAGCAGTTTATACCACCCAGGGACTCCTCATATAACTGAAGAGGGCTGATTTTAGGCTGACAGGGTCAGGAACTCATTTCTCTTCTTTGTGATGGATTCATTCTCAGGTAACCCCTCTCCTTTGCAATGTCTTACACTACACTATAAAGAGAGAATTTCTCTTTTACACCAGTTCCTACAGAAGTCCCATGCTGATGCTCGTTGGTGCTGATTGGTCAAGTGTGAGTCACATGTTCACCCCTGACCCAATCATCATAAACAGTGGATAAAACATGCTGACTAATCTCCTAGCTAACAGAACCAAAATCACCTAAACATCATAGAAAGACAGAGAAGGAAAAGTGGTTCCACAAAAAGAAACCAGAGTGCTCTTACTGGAGGAAGGAGAAATGTATACTGGTCAGATGGCATCACCAAACATCCACTAGAGGGATTCTACACTGACTGTCACCAACAAAGAAGGAGATGACAACATGTCACCTTGCATGAAGGTGGTGATGACTATGCACTGACTTCTTGAAAGAGAATTGGGAGAAAAAACACACAAATGTCAGATCCCAAAAGCAGGGAAGGATGAGTCACAGTGGTGATTACCAGCCCACCTGCCCCTAGTGGGCTCTGTGCCATCTTGCATGTACCATGGAATATTTTCCTGGGAATATGAGCTCCCAAATAATGGGTGATACCGTGTGACAATCCAATTACTTATCCCATCCTGAAATCAGCTGCTTGTCAGGACTTCAAGCACCCAATTCATCTTCATCAGTAAGTTTGGTCATAGCACATTCTGGTGCAGATGAATACCCAGGACGAGGACATCATCAGGAGCCCTTACACTAACTGCTGCACAGAATGTCTCCTACTTCTTTGGTGATATTATCAAGGGAATGCTGTGGTTTTTAATGATTCATTTTTATTACCGTTATCATTGTCACAAGGAGCATCTAGTTCATTTATGCTGCACCTGTTGCTATAAAATCTAGGTGGTGGGATGTGTCTCCAGGCTTGTCCTGACTACCAGACTGCTACGTGTTTGGGCTAGTGGGGCTCTGGCAGGTCAGGCACGAGTGCCTCAACCCACTTCTGCCCCTGTCAGAATACCTTATCACATAATAATGATTGTTCTCTTAATGAGATCCTTAACAAGGATTGTCTCTTTGATCCCCAATGTCCTCAGTACCTAGAATATTATAACCATTCAAGAGACATTTGTAAAATAAGCTTAATATGCTTAATGATTACAAAACAAAGAAGAATAAGACATAATCTCTGACCTTGAGAAAGCTTGAGGTCAATTAATCACAAGAATAATAGTAATAATAATGATGACAATGACGATGATGATGATGCCAGCTAATGTTAACTGGATGTTTACTATGGGCTTGATACTGAGCTAAATGTATTATCTCATTTAGTGACCTCAACAACTTTATATAGTATATACAATTACTACCCTCATTTTACTGATGAAGAAGCTAAAGTTTATGAAGTAAGCTCAAGTGCAATCATATCATTTGAAAATGGTGGAGTCAGGCCTTGAACCCAGATCTGCCTAACTATAATGCATGTTCCTAATCTCTAAATTGGTACTACCTCTATAAAAGTAGGAGGAACAAAAGATGAGGAAAGTTAGAATAAATTAATGCCCCAGGGATTGACAGGATCTCCCAGGGCCAATCATGTTCTGGATCATATCAAATCTTTTGCAAAGATTTTAAGCTGGTCTATTTTTTTTTTTTTTTTTTTAATTAGCTGGGGCCTTTAAGGAACTGATTGAAAGAACACAACAGAGACCTAGGGACATGTTGATTGCACTATCTGGAGGCCATGGAAATGATTATAGGTCACTTAAAGTAAGGGAGTGCCTACTGTTCTCCCTGGTTCCCTCCCTAGGCAAAAAAGGGAAATAGAGGAGAAAGTGTCTGCATAAACCAATTGCTGTTGAGTCTGTTCTTTCTTATAGTGACTATGTGTGTGTCAGAGTAGAACAAGGTTTCAACAGCTGATTTTTTTTTTCAGCAGTAGATCACCAGGCCTTTCTTCCAAGGCACCTTTGAGTGGGTTCAAATTGCCAATCTTTTGGCTAGTAGTCAAGCACTTAACTGTGCCACCCAGAGACTCCTACTGTCTGCATAAAGCATAAAAACCAAACTCACTGCTGTCTAGTTGGTTCTGACTCATAGCGACTCCTCCTTGGGTTTCTGAGGCAGTATCTGTATGGAAGTAGATTGCCCAGTCTTCCTTCCAAGGAGTGGCTGGTGGGTTTGAACAGCCTTAGCAGTCACATGCCTTAGGCACTACGCATAGCCTTCACTAAATATGGTTCAGAAGAGCAAGAATGATGAGCTCTGTCCCTCATGAATGTATTTTACCTTCTTTCAGAATGGAGTCAATAATTGGAGATCAGCGACGACCTCTCTAAAAACTGTGTACAGTTTATTATTTCTGCTAGCTAGAAAGGGCAGAAGAGGAGAGTGACAGTCGCATTCCACAAACAGCCAGAGGGAAAGGGCAGGGGTTGGGCAGGTGAAGCTTCACAGAAGAGACAGAAGCAAAGAATTCCCTGAAGCCTGCATCCAAGTGGGTAACATAGACTGTGAAGAATGGTGGAACATAGGAAGTTTTATGCTAAACTGAGGGAGAGAATTCTGGAGAGGAACTAAGAAAGGAGTTCACAACCTCTCAGAACTAGGGTTCTGACTGAACATCATGAGTAGGCCTGTGGGACATGTCTGTGAGTGCCCATCAGTCAGATTGTGTCCATATGATCTCTTTTATTCAATAAACAAACACTGGTCATGTGTGGACATGTATGGATGTAGGGGAGAGTGTATACTGTGACACGACACAGAGCAATTTCTCATTGAAAATATATGGTGCAGGGCACAGGCGAGTAAATTGGCAAAGGCCATACAGAGTAAGAAGACCCACCAACAGGCAAACAGATGGTGCTCTAGACCATAAGGACCCTAATAAAAATACTTTATGGGGACTCTGAGAGAAGGATGGGCTTCAGTAAACTGGCTGAGCACTGGAGAATGAATGGGATTCACCCAGGTGAGCATTGGGAGTGAGAACAAGGTGTCAGGGGACTTTTGGAAGAAAAGGAAAAAGCCTGGTACAGAATCAGGAAGTAAGAGAGTGTGGCATTTCACTGCAAGAGACTTGTGTAGTTTGTGCTTGGAGTGAGAGTGGGAAGTGGCAAGAGAGGGCACGGGGCCAGCCACCCTCAGAGTCTGGACTTTGTCCTGAAACCAATAGGGGTTTTCCTTCCCAGAGAGGGCATGATCAGTGCCTCCTATAGGGGTGTCTTGGGTGGTTGATGCAACATATGCCAATAATAAAAAATAGTCCAGCTCCTTGTCAACACCTCAGTGGAACATCCAAACGCCTTCCAGCAGAATCAAAGGAAGAGCTTTGCTACCTTTTTCTGGGCATAAAAACAGGGTCCTGGTGTCCTGAGAAGATGAAATCCCTGATTTGCTGAAAGGATGCATTTCAGACCTCAGAGCACATCACCAGTCAAGACATTTTTCCAGCATAACTCAAGCTCAGTGGTCTCAAAATTACTGGCACATGAGAATTACCTGGAAAACTTAAAAAAAAAAAAAAGATGCTTGTGGCACCCTCAGAGATTCTCATTTAATTACCTGGGGTGTTGCTGTGCACAGGTGTTTTTGAAAGCTTCTCAGGTGATCCTCACATGCAGCCACATGGAAAACTGCTGTAGCACACACAGCCTAGTAAAGGCCTTTCTTCTGAGGCACCTCTATGTAAACTTGAACCTCCAACCTCTCCATTAGCAGCTGAGCATGATAATCATTTGCAGCACCCAGAAACTCAAGGGTCTTCAAACCACCCCATTCCCCTTTACTTTTGTCTGCCCTGGCCCCTGCCTTTATGCAAGTGGGCAAAAAAAAAAAAAAAAAGACTTTGTTCTAATAAGGGAGCTGGAGAGGGAGGCTGCCTCACCTATTCCTGCTGAACTAGCCACATCAGTGACTCCCTGGGCTACATTATCTGTGCAGTAGTAGGGGGCTTTGTAAGTTTTTGTTGTTGTTGTTGCTTCTTTTTCCCTGAATTTACCCAGAAATTCCAACCAGGCCTCATTAGCGTATTACTCCCACTCAATCAGTCCCACAGGTCAACTACCTCATCACCCCAACCCAGGTCTCTGTTCTCCTTTCACCCAGTTATTCAGAACAGTTGGGTATTTTTCCCTGAAAACCATCTTAGTTGGGTTTTGTTCCCTGAAAAGCATCTTTTTGGAAGGGGTATGCCACTGGAAGTGAGGTCCCACAGTCCCTCATCCTTCTTCCATGAAACCCTACCATCCATCAAGGACACCAAATGACGAGCCTCTAAATATTTCCCAAGGCACTGCCCTGTTTTGTTCCTTCCATACTGAGACAGCAAATCATTAGCTCAGGGCCCTGGGTTGTCTCCTAAAGCAATTAATAGCTGCCTTGATATTAATTCCCAATCAATACCCTCACTGTTGCTGTTATTGCTGTCGGCTTCTGGCCTCCACAGCACATTTTGAAAGTAACTTGACAGGGCAGTGGACACTCTTGGCTCTTCAGACCACTCCCAGGAAAGCCCTCAGCAAGCTTCTAAGGGACCCATCTGTGAGTTTCAGGGCCAAGGGACAGAGAGCAGGCAGTGGCTTTTCACATTTCTTTCATGTCAAACGACAACTTGGGAGATAGGTACAACCACTCCCATATAGTGTAACAGCCCCTTGGGATATTCGCAATGCTTCCATTTTTCTATTTTGTTTGGGAATTTTTTTCTGTTTATTTAAAGATGGCTGTATTTTTCTCCATCAAAAGCCTTCATTCAAATCAGTCCTTTTTTAAAAAAAAAAAGAAATCAGGTAGCCATGGTTGTTCATTTCTTGCCTGTGTTGCTTCCTCCAGCTCCTTGTGGACAGAACGAGACTCGAGAAGATGGTAAGATAATCCAGTTGCCTCCCTGCAAGACAGGAGCCTGGATCGTGCCAGCCATTATGGCCTGCTACCTCTTAGTGGCAAACATCTTGCTGGTCAACCTCCTTATTGCTGTCTTTAAGTAAGTGGGTCCTTCCTCAAAGCACTTGGAGGGGGTAAGTGGGTGGAGCTTCAGAGAGCAATGGATTTTCTCATTTAATTCTCTTGGTCTCTATTTCAGCAATACATTTTTTGAGGTAAAATCAATATCCAACCAAGTGTGGAAGTTTCAGCGGTATCAGCTCATCATGACTTTCCACGAGAGGCCAGTTCTGCCCCCACCTCTGATCATCTTCAGCCACATGACCATGATATTCCAGCACCTGTGCTGCCGATGGAGGAAACATGAGAGTGACCCAGATGAAAGAGACTATGGCCTGAGTAAGTGTCCAGCAGCAGCCCCAGCCAATCACACACCAGAAATCCCTACCACTTCCTGCAGGGAATCACGCAGGACCAACACCACCTAATTCCTTCTACTTTCTGCAGGCAGAAAACAGTCCTGGGAACTTGAGAAAGGAGGGTACACTTGCATAAGAAATAGCACCAGAAAGAGGACAGCAGAGGCTGAAATTGAATATTCTTAGCCTCATCTCCTTTCTTAATAAGATAAAATCAATCTCCACCAGGTCTGTTTTAGTACCTTGATGGATTCTAACTTTCTTACTTTCCAGAGGTCCTACCACAAATAACATTAACCATATTAATATGTACCCAATGCTACATGGTACAGTGAAAACTGTAAGAGCCAGAACTCCCTGGGACTGCCTTGTTTTTCTGGTCTCACAAAATTTCTGTCTTTGACAGGATGCAGTCATATTACTTTTCTATTGCTCATTTTAATGGAAAATATTTGAGTTTTCCTTCTCTGACAGATTTCTACCTTACACAGCTTCTGGCTCTTGCAGGTTTTACTGTATATAATTTAGAAAGAATTACATATGAGTTGAGTTGAATTTCATTTGACAAAGTTTGATTTTCCTTCATCATTTATGGACCTATAATTTTTTTAGGTCTTAAAATTTTCCTAAACCTTAGGTGCTATGCCTACAGGAACTCATGAGGAAACCAGCCCTGATTTCCATTATTCAAATAACAAAATGGAAGATTCTTCACTATCCACTCTCTAACCCAGTGTTTGTAAAAAGAGGGGCTATTGCCATTTAGATAGAACAGTTCCTAACTGTGTAGGCTCATTGCAGGAGGGTTAGCATACCTGGTCTCTTAACATTAAATATTAGTACCCATGAAAAATGGTGGTAGGAGCTCTGGTAGCATAGTGCCTAAGGCATTTGACTGCTAACTAGAGGGCTGGAAGTTCAAACCCACCAGCTACTCCTCGGAAGGAAGATTGGGTGATCTACTTCCATATTGATACTATCTCAGAAACCCAAGGAGGGGTCACTATGAGTCGGATCCCACTCGATGGCAATGAGTTTGGTTTGCTTTGCTTTTACCACCACCACCACCCCACATACACACACACAACATTGCCTTTGAGTTGATTTCAACTCACACTTGCCCTGTAGGACAAATAACTGCCCCCATAGGGATTCCAAGGCTATAAATCTCTACAGAAGCAGACTGCTACATCTTTCTCCCACGGAGTGCTGGTGGGTTTGAACTACTAACTGCTTAGTTATCAGCCAAGTGCTTAACACTGCACCACCAGGGCTCCGACTCATAGTGGCCCTTCCTTGGGTTTCTGAGGCAGTATCACTACAGAAGTAGACTGCCCAATCTTCCTTCCAAGGAGTGGCTGGTGGGTTTGAACTACCAGCCTTCTAGTTACCAGTCAGATGCCTTAGGCACTATGCCACCAGAGCTCCCTAAATACTAGTGTTGTTGTGTTGTTATTTGCCATCGAGTCGGCCCCGACTCATAGAGACCCCTCCTTGGGTTTCCGAGGCAGTATCACTATGGAAGTAGGATTGCCCAACCTTCCTTGCGAGGAGTGGCTGGTGGGTTTGAACCGCCAGCCTTCTGGTTAGCAGTCAAGTGCCTTAGGCACTATGCTACCAGAGCTCCTAGGTCCTGCAAATTCCTAAATGTCCCTGAGAGGGGTAGTACCACCCTTAGTTAAGAACCACTGGGAATCCAGCCCCATGCAAGCAAGCTATGGTTTCTCAAAGTGTGGTGAGCTTACAGTAGATAACTGAAAAAAGCCTCTGGAAGTGTGGCCCCAGAATCTATCTTCTTAACAGGCAATCTATGTCATTCTTGGTCACAGTCCATATGATCACCAGTGCATCTAAGTTTAAAACCAAAGCCACTTATCTGCTTTTCTAAGTCTGAAGCTTTTAGCAATTTCCCTGACAGTAACACCCAAAGTCTTTCTAGATATTAAAACTGGAAAGTTGGAGAGAGCTGGGAATTCCAAAATTCACTTTTCCATCTAAACCACAAATTTTAGGCAAATAGAAATCCTTGGCAAAGGGAAGAAGAAGAAGGGGGAGAAGATGAAGAAGACAACAAAAATGAAGATAAAGACAAAGAAGGATCATCTATGATATAAAACCTTGAACAGTGTGGAGGAGCATGATTTGCCATATTAGAAGCAGAGAAATAGTATTAATGAATTACATCATGCACTGGGTAATAAACTGAGGATTAACCCATTGTTGTTGTTGTTGTTGTTATGTGCCGTCAAGTCAGACCCGACTCATAGCGACCCCTCATTAGGTTTCTGAGGTGGTATCACTATGGAAGTAGATTGCTCAACCTTCTTTCTGAGGAGTGGCTGGTGGGTTTGAACTGCCAGCCTTCTGGTTAGCAGTCAAGTGCTTTAGGCACTATGCTACCAGAGGACCCCAAAATCCTTTACAATAAAGGTTGTCCTGTCTATGGTACGAGGAGAACCTCATTTATCCAGAGTTTAGGAAGGAGTTAGTCTGGAATTATAACAAGGAAGTGAGGCAGTCTGGAGACCCATTTCAGCTCATGCCCAAACCCTCACAGAAAGCTAGAGATCTGAACAAGCCAGCTACATAAAGTTCAAGTTCATGAAAAAAAATTTGCAAGTTCATAATAATAGCAATAACAAGCATCATCAAGTCTCTGGAAACATGGACAGGATGGAGCACATTGTCAGCTCTTTCTCAGAGAAGAGGGATTTCAGAGCTGTGGCTGGGTCGGAGATGTGGCATCTGCATTATATTAATCAATAAGGCAAAGTAAACATTTTATTGTCAATCTGTAACTTGCTTAAAAGAATCTAGGATACTACAAGTTGCCTCCAAAGCCAAGTTCTTGCAAACCTCAAATGAAAGCACTCTAAAATGTAAACTAATTTTTCTTATAAAAATTGACATATTGTTTTCATTGCAAAAAATAGAATTTTAAGAGTTTTGAAGAGTTTAAGAAGTCAAATGAAACACATTTCAGGTGCCAGAAGAGTAAATACTAAGTATACATAGTCCCCAACTTACAATGGGCTTCCATTCCAACGACTCCATCATAACTCAGTTCTGATGTAAGTTAAATACCTCCTTTTCTTGTTTGTTCTCATTGTTGCCTTTTATTAGTAGTATCTTTATAAATCTGATCTTTGTTTGTCTTGGGGGTTGGTAACATTTCATAATATATTCTAGTAGATATTCCTCATCTTATATTATCTTGTCCAGCTCATCATTGAATTTTTCATCAGTTTCAACAATGATGCTTCCTGTTTCTCCAGTTATGCACGTGTTATATAAGCCAGATCTGTGTTTGAAGTGATGAAACCAGCCCTTGCTGGCATTAAAGTTCTCAAGGTAGTCTTCTCCTTACTGTTCCTTCAAGTTTTCAAAAGGCTGTGTGCTTTACTTTAAATCGCCAGGAAACTCATAGGAATACTCTTCTAGACTTAGTCTTCTGTTCAAATCATCAACAGTTTCTCCATCTTGTGGATTGGCCCTCACCTCTTCTTTGTTAAAAGTGTGGATTTCATGCCAATCATTGCTTTAACTGCCTCCAAAATTTTCTTCTTATTCTTCATGATCATCAAAAGGGTGGAATGAGATAGTCCTTCCTCGAGTGCTATTTCACCAACTTTTTTTACCCATCATCATAGTTCTTAATAATCTTCATCTTTATATCATGTCTAGAGTCTTCCTCACCTTCTTCTTTGGATTAGAATTTACAGTGCCATGACTTCTTTTTCTAGGCATATTATTGGGGTATAAGCAGTGTAGGTGTTCCAGTGTGTGAAACTTGAAAAACATGGCTTCAGATTAACAACTGATGCTTCTGATGGTTAAAAAAAGAAAGAAAAAAAACAGAATAAGATTGCACAATAGGCCTGGTCTAGGGAGCTCTGGTAGTATAGTGCTGGAAGCATCAGCTGCTAATCAAAAGGTCAATGGTTAGAACCCACTAGTCCAGTTCTATGGGAGAAAGAAAAAACAATCTGCCTCTGTAAAGCTTTATAGTCTTAGAAATTCTATGGGGCAGTTCTACTCTGTCCTATAGGGTCACTATGAGTCAGAAAAGACTCAAAGGCAGTGTTTTGTTTTGTTTTGTTTTGCTTTTCCCAATAGGCCTGGTTCATAATGAAGAAGGCATCTATTTCATAATAATGAAGTTGAAGTCATAACAGCTGTCTAGCACATGCACAGTGCAATTGTCATATATTGTCACAGTTGAACATTGCCCAATTTTCTATTATAACTACTGACATTGACACTGACTTCATCGTAGACCAGGCCATAGCCTGCTATACAACAGTGTTTTGAACAGCAACTCATAACATTGAACATCTGCAAGTGAACATCTGAGAATGATAACATCAGCAAATTCACACTGCAGCATTTTATGTCGTACATATTACTAATGATAAGATGTGCAAAACACAGACAGTTGTAAGTGCAGTTTGTTGTAACTCAAATACATCATAAGCCAGGGACTACCTATATATTTTCTTTGTTCTAAAATATAGCAGTAACAGGAAGGCATCTGTACTTTGGAGAGCTCTAGAAACTATCTCTCTTCCCTCCCTTTCCTCCAACTAAAGCTCTGTGCAAGTTCATGACTGCATCCCAGGTGCCTCCCTCTGATAAAGCTCTTCCTCTCCTCCCTTCCAAGGAATCCTGCCATACTTGAACAAAACCAAAGCCAAACTGCCTTCTAGTCCATTCTTACTCATAAAAGGGTCTTATTCACTGGCATCATTAGGGTTGGTGACACTTAGTAAGGTAACTCATGATGTCACCACCCTGTAGGGAGACTGGCTGGAGGAAAAGACTATCTCCCCCTACCTCCGCACCCCCAGAGAGTGACCTGGCCCTCCCCCCCGCCCCCCCCCCCCACACACACCCAGACACATCGCCCCACCCCTCCTAGCCTCCCTCTGGGCTCCCTGTGGCTCCTCCCCTCTCCCATTGGCCAAGGCAGAGACCCTCTCTCCACCCAGTGATGGGTGCCATGGCCTGCAGCCCTCACATTGACTGGCAGGTAATGGGTGAGGTGTAATATGTTACCTCATTGGGTGACAGATGATACCAATCCTAGTGACATTACAGCCTTACCGGTCCCTCTCCCTGTGGCACTGCCATGGCTCCTAGGGTCATTTTGGTGCCATCCCATCTGACAGTGTCAGGGGGTGTGGTCTGCACCCCCCTCCTGAGGCCACTGCTCTTGTTTCTGGTATTTTCTTTACCCTCACCTGCTTTCACACTCATATATAGATGAATTCCCTGAGCAGATCCAGGCTACCACCTCAGGGCAACCCAGAGCAACTTCACAAAGCTAATCCCCAACAACCTAAAATCCAGGACTTCCAAACGTTTGGGGCAACTCCAATGGCATCTCAAGGACACAAGATTAGAAGAGGCACTTGCCCCATTTATGGCTTTTCCAAACCCATTCTCCCACATAACCCTGATTCATAGGCCATTTAAAGCTTCACATTTCCATTGGGCTCTTTCTATCAGTCTATCAGTTAAGAATTGCTTAACCCGGTAGTAGCAAAATCAGGCTAACAATAACATAAACAAATAAGACTGTTTTTCTCACATAACAAAAGGGGAAGTGGTAAACACCCTAGAGCTCAAAAATGAATCAACTAAGTCAAAGACCCACAGCCTTTCTATGTTTAGTCTCAGTTATTCTCATCATTACGTCTTGCCTCATGATAGCAAAATAGCTGCTGCAATTCCAGTTGTTACATTCATGTTCAAGGCAGAAAGAAGAGAAGGAGGAAAAACGTAGAAAGCATCAGCCACTGTATTTATCAAAAAAGCAAAATCTCTTCCCAATGCACCACGCCTCCCTGCAATAGACTTCTTTTGTTTCATAGGCCAAACTGGGTTGCATGACTGCTGCTAGTTTCAGAGGATGCTGGAAGTGTGTGCATTTGGCTTTCCAGCTCCAGTAGTGGAAAGGTGGGAAAGGGTAAATAGGGTCGCAAAAGGGCTTTTAGTAAGGCCAGCCCATAATGTCTGTCTGCCACACCCTTAAGCCCAGAAATTTTTTAGCTTTTAAGAAAGGCTTCATTCTCCATATAGCTTCCCTTTCCTTGGTTTAGCTACGTTTTGAGGCTTACAACTTGTGTAATTCTAACTAGCCCCTGCGGTAAACCAGATATGCTCAAGTGAACTTCATACACCCATAGTGACTCTAATGCACAGAAAGAAGACAGTGACAAGTTGCCTGATTGGGTGGGGATTTAGTTTGAGATTTAGGAAAGAATCTAGGCCCCTTTTCATAACCTTGACTTAAATTAAGAATGTCATTAGACCAACCAACCGAATACCATCACTTTTACTTTTCTGCCTCATGTATTTCTCTGTCTCTTTCCCCCCGCCCCCTTTTCCACAGAACTCTTCATAACTGATGACGAGCTCAAGAAAGTGCATGATTTCGAAGAGCAGTGCATAGAAGAATATTTCAGGGAGAAAGATGATCGATTCAACTCATCCAATGATGAGAGAATACGGGTGACTTCAGAAAGGTGTGTTCCATAATCTCATGCCTACTGCAGATGGTTTAAGCCATGAGCTGTGTGTATCAATTGTGTGCAGCCACAAAACAGAGACCCCTTGTGTGTACTGTTATTGTCCAAGAAATCATCAGGCTTAGACAGAAGAGAACATTGTCTAAAGCATATACAGAAAATCAAACACACACACACAGACTTACAGATCATAGAGCCGCCCTCCTAGATACTAGAGATTGTTTCATTCCAAAACAGGGCTAGACTTGCTGGCCAGAATTTGGAAAGTTGTGATGCAGATTCAAACGAAGAAAGACCCAACCAAACTCAAGGTTCCCAAAAAGTTTGTGGTTCATCTAGATTACTGAGCATTTTCCCCAGAGGAGTAGAAATGGTTCTTCCCAGTTTTCTAGTTGCTGTTGAATTCACTCCAACTCGTAGTGATCACGTTTGTGAGAGCAGAACTATGCTCCATAGGCTGTTCAGTGGCTGATTTTCAGAAGTCAATATCCATTCCTTTCTTCTAAGGCACCCCTGGGTGGACTTGAAGGTACACCCACTTAGTTAGCCTCCAATTACGTGAATTGTTTGAACCACCCAGGAACTCTGGAAACAGCCCTGGTGCCTGAGTTAAATGAGTGTTCAATGTATCCTCAATAAATGACAGCAAGAGACTTGTAAATTGGTCAGGATAATGATTGGGGTTTGTTTCAGAACTGCTTTGCTTTTTTTTTGTTTTTTGTTTTGTTTTGTTTTGTTTCTAAAACAAGTTAAAAGAAAAGAAACAAAAGAAGATTTTTATACACCGGTGGTTAGATGCTTTTAGTTCTTATTAACCAAATAGCTTTGTGGGGCATTAGAGCTATAAAAACAATCTCAAAATAAAGTGAAGACAGTCCTTTAGATTTAAGAAATCTAGCTTTATGAAAATGTACTTAAATTTTGTCAGTTTTCTTATTTTGCTATAGACTCATAAAAACATCATTCCAGGCCAGCACATTCAAACCCAGCATTTGGAAACTCCTATTCTAAAGAACATCCAGATTGTTACAAAGTAATATATACCTTTAATTTCAAGCATTTGAGGTATCAAGATGGCAGGAGCAAATTATATATAGTGTAAAAAGGTATAATCCATTTATGACTTTTGTCAATATGACTCAAATTACTATGACTGAAGGCAGTTACCTTTAGTTTTCATTATAAGACATTTTGTCTACTTGTCCAACTCAGATATTCTCTAGTGGCTCTGTAGAAATTACCTAAGCGGCATTTTTCTGTCCCTGGACCTTTATTTCTCCAAACAATGCAGTCTAGACCGTAGGCTTATATGTATAAGCCATGGAATAATTATATCCATAGGTACAAACCACTAAAGCCAAAGATAAGGAAATTGAAGACTTTTATCAGCTTCTGCAGACTGAAATTGACCAAACATGCAATCAAAATGTGTTAATTATCACTGGTGACTGGAATGCAAAAGTAGGAAACAAAGAAGAATCACCAATAGTTGGAAAATTTGGCCTTGGTTACAGAAATAACACTGGAGATTGCATAACAGAATTTTGCAATATCAGTGACTCATTCCTTGCAAATACCTTTTCTCAACAACACAAATGGTGGTTATACACATGGACTTCACCAGATGGAATACACAGGAATCAGATTGACTACATCTGTGGCAAGAAGCGATGGAAAAGCTCAATATCTTCAGCCAAAATAAGGCCAGGAGCTGATTGTGGAACAGAGCATCAACTGTTCATATGCAAGTTCAACTTGAAGTTGAAGACAATTAAAACAAGTCCACAAGAGCCATAATATGGTCTTGAATATATCTCTTTTGGATTTAGAGACCATCTAAAGAATAGATTTGATGCATTGAACACCAATGACCGAAAACCAGAAGAATTGTGGGGTGACATCAAGAACATCATCCATGAAGAAAGCAAGAGGTCATTAAAAGAATGAGAAGAAAAGACCAAAATGGATGTCAGAAGAGACTCTGAAACTTGCCCTTGAATGGAGAGTAGCTAAAGCAAATGGAAGAAATGACAAGATAAAGAGCTGAACAGAAGATTTCAAAGAGCAGCTCAAGCAGACAAAGCCAATTACTATAATGAAATGTGCAAAGACCTGGAGTTAGAAGACCAAAAGGCAAGAACAGTCTCAGCATTTCTCAAGCTGAAAGAACTGAGGAAAAAATTTAAGCCTTGAATTGCGATATTGAAATATTCTATGGGTAGGATATTGAATGATGCAGGAAGCATCAAAAGAAGATGGAAAGAATACGCAGAGTCACTGTGTCAAAAAGAACTGGTTGTTGTTCATCCATTTCAGGAGGTGGCATATTATCAAGAACCAATGGTATTAAAGGAAGAAGTCAAAACTTCACTGAAGGAACTGGCAAAGAACAAGGCTCCAGGAATTGACGGGATACCCATTGAGATGTTTCAACAAACAGATGTCCCACTTGAGGCACCCACTCAGTTATACCAAGAGATTTGGAAGATAGCTACCTGGCCAACTGACTGGAAGAGATCCATATTTGTACCCATTCCAAATAAAGGTGATCCCACAGACTATAGAAATTATTTAACAATATCATTAATATCTCACACAAGTAAAATCTTACTGAAGATAATTCAAAAATGACTGCAGCAGTATATTGACAGAGAACTTCCAGAGGTGAAAGCTAGGTTCAGAAGAGGGCATGGAACAAGGGATATCATTGCTGATGTCAGATGGATCTTGGCTCAAAGCAAAGAATACCAGAAAGATGTTTACTTGTGTTTTATTGACTATGCAAAAGCATTTGATTATGTGGATCATAACAATTGTGGGTAACATTGAGAAGAATGGGAATTCCAGAACACTTTATTGTACTCATGAGGAACCTGTACATAGACCAGGAGGCTATCATTCGAACAAAACAAGGGGACAGTCCATGGTTTAAAATCAAGAAGGGTGAGCATCAGGGTTGTATCTGTCCCCCATACTTATTCAATCTGTATGCCGAGCAAATAATCTGAGAAGCTGGACTATAAGAAGAAGAACGTGGCATCAAGATTGGAGGAAGAATCATTAATAACCTTAGATATACTGATGACACAACTTTGCTTGCTGAAAGTGAGGATGACTTGAGGCACTTACTGATGGAGATTGAAGAATACAGTCTGCAGTATGGATTACCTCTCAATATAAAGAAAACAAAAATCCTCACAACTAGACCTATAAGCAGCATCACGATTAATCGAGAAAAGATTGAAGTTGTCAAAAATTTCACATTGCTTGGTTCTACCATTGACACCAATGGAAGCAGCAGTCAGGACATCAGATGACATGTAGCACTGGGCAAGTTGGCTGCAAAGAACCTCTTTCAAGTGCTGAGAGGCAAAGATGTCTCCTTGAGGACTAAGGTGTGCCTGACACAAGCCATGATATTTTCAATTGCCTCATATGCATGTGAGAGCTGGACAGTGAATAAGGAAGAACAAAGAAGAGTTGATGCTTTTGAGTTGTGGTGCTGGTGAAGAATGCTGAGAGTACCATGGACTGCTAAAAGAACTAACAAATCTGTCCTGAAAGAAGTGCAGCTGGAATACTCCTTGGAAGCGAGGATGGCCAGATTTTGTCTCACCTACTTTGGTCATGTTGTCAGAAGGGACCATTCCCTGGAGAAGGATGTCATGCTTGGTAAGGTGGGGGGTCAATGAAAGAGGGGAAGGTCCTCAAGGAGATGGATTGACACAGTGGCTGCAGTGATGGGCTCAAGTATAGCAAGGATCGTGGAGCTGGTGCAGGACTGGGCGGTGTTTCATTCTGCTGTACATAGGGTCGCTATGAGTCAGAGATGACTCGACAGCACCTAATAACAACAACAACAACAGGTACCCAACCAATATTAATAAAGTCAAAAGCCATGCACAGATTTTATACACATTTGCCTCTGAAAAAGAGATCACTTTATGATAAGATGTGAAGCAATTTTCTGCAACTGAAATAAAGGAACTGAAAATCCAAAGGTCTCTCTCTCTCTCTCACTCTCTCGCTCTCTCACTCTCTTGCTCTCTCTCTGTCTGAGGTCTTGAAAGAGTTATACATTAATGGAAAAATATCTATGTGTTTCCCAGAAAATTGTGCCATGTGGATACATTACCCATTACTCAGACATACTGCAATGTATTGACCATTCACACCACCTAGGGACTCCAGTGCCAGTTACCTAGAGAGAAAGAAAGAGGGAGCAAGAGCCAGAGAAAAAGAGAGACAGACAGACAGACAGAAAGAGTAGGATAATTTAGTTATTTAATAATTTTTTCACCACAAATTATTTTATGTAATCTTAGTTAAATTTCTTGATTTTATTTTTCCTTTATTAATGAAAGGACTGCATTACATTAGATTAGATCAACCCCATGTGGCTCGATAATAAGACCATGCTAATGCCATTGTTGCTGTTATTGTTGTTAGGTGCCAAAGAGTCAATTTCAACTCATAGAGACCTTATAGATAGATAGAGTAGAACTGCCCCATTTTACTCTTTACACCTAGACAGAAGCAGATTACCAGGTCTTATCTTTCATGGAGCTACTGGAAGGGTTTGAACTGCCAACCTTTCAGTTAACAGCCAAGCACTTAAACGTTGTGCCACCAGGTCTTCTTATTAATGCCTTTAGAGGCACTAAACTCTAAAAAGATTACCATGAAAAACAGAAACAACGCAAAAGAGATTATTGTACAAATGCAAAATAAAAGAATCTCAGTCCCTAAAATATACGTTTTACATATACACTGAAATAAAAGTATCTACATTCTAAAAGTGTACTGTAAAATTCTACATAAAGTTATCAAAATAAAATGTTCTCATTTTGTTGCTGACCCTATTGAGCCAACACCTAAATACCTGCTTTAGGTCACTAGTGGTATAGTGCCTAAGGCATTTGACTGCTAACCAGAAGGTTGGCGGTTCAAACCCACCAGCCACTCCACAGAAGGAAGACTGGACAATCTACTTTTGTAAAGATTTACCATCTTGGAAACTCAAAGGGGGTTGCTATAAGTCAGAATGGAGTCGATGGCAGTGAGTTTGTTTCTTTTGTTAGGTCACTGAGCCCTGCACCAAGCCACAGCTAGTCTATGGAGGCAGTAAAAGTATGGGACTTTGGCCCCAATCCACTTCACAAAGAGCCACTCCACTTTTGTGTTTATCAGGATTGTGTGAATGGTACAAATGCTTAAAGCAGCTGGCTGCCAACGCTTGAAAGTTTGAGTCCACCCAGAGGCACCTTGGAAGAAAAACCTTGTGACCTACTGCTGAATGATGAGCCATTGAAGTCCCTGTAGTTCTACTCTGACCTAAATGGGGCCACCAAAGATCAAAACTGACAGGATTGAAACTGGGTTTTTAATCAAGATTGTTCATTAAATTTCATTGTAGGGAAATGGGATTGGCAGCTGAAAACCACTGGATTAGATCATTCATAAAGCCTCTTCCAGCTCACAAAGATTTGTGTTCTTTGATTCTCAGTGGCAGCATCAATGCCATTCTCTGCTCCTTGCCCGCATCTTGCTCTTCATAATCTCTTTTTGTTTCCTCTGGTAGGGGAAGCACTGATGGAACCCAGGTCAGGAACAGCTTTGATCCCCTCTGACCATGCTCTCTAGACCCCAGCAGAGGACCCCAGCCCACAGTGACTCTTGCTTTCTCTTCTCCCTTTGAACAGGGTGGAGAACATGTCCATGAGGCTGGAAGAAGTCAATGAGAGAGAGCATTGTATGAAGGCCTCGCTCCAAACCGTAGACATCCGACTTGCACAGCTTGAGGACCTCATTGGTCGCATGGCTACAGCACTAGAACGCCTGACTGGTCTGGAGCGGGCCGAGTCCAACAAAATCCGCTCGCGGACCTCCTCAGACTGCACAGATGCGGCCTACATCGTCCGCCAGAGCAGCTTCAACAGCCAAGAGGGAAATACCTTCAAGCTCCAAGAGAGTATAGACCCTGCAGGTGAGGAGACCATGTCCCCAACATCTCCAACTTTAATGCCCCGTATGCGAAGCCATTCTTTCTATTCGGTCAATGTGAAAGACAAAGGTGGTATAGAAAAGTTGGAAAGTATTTTTAAAGAAAGGTCCCTGAGCCTGCACCGGGCTACTAGTTCCCATTCAGTATCAAAAGAACCCAAAGCTCCTGCAGCCCCTGCAAACACCTTGGCCATCGTCCCCGACTCCAGAAGACCATCATCATGTATAGACATCTATGTCTCCACCATGGACGAGCTCCACTGTGATATAGACACAGTGGACCCTCTGGACAAATCCATGAACATCCTTGGGCTGGGCGATCCAAGCTTTTCAGCTCCAGCACCTTCCACAGCCCCTACGAGCAGTGCCTATGCAACTCTTGCACCTATGGACAGACCTCCAAGCCAGAGCATTGATTTCGAGGACATCACAACTATGGACACTAGATCTTTTTCTTCAGACTACACCCACCTCCCAGAGTGCCAAAACCCCTGGGACTCAGACCCTCCAATGTACCACACCATTGAGCGTTCCAAAAGTAGCCGCTACCTAGCCACCACACCTTTTCTTCTGGAAGAGGCCCCCATCGTGAAATCTCATAGCTTTATGTTTTCTCCTTCGAGGAGCTATTATGCCACCTTTGGGGTGCCCATGAAAACAGCAGAATATACAAGTATTACAGACTGTATTGATACAAGGTGTGTCAATGCCCCGCAAGCAATTGCTGACAGAGCCACCTTCCCCGGAGGTCTCAGAGACAAAGCAGAAGACTTATCTTGCTGCCATCCAGAGAGAGAGGCAGAACTGAGTCACCCGGGCTCCGACAGTGAGGACAATGAGGCCAAAGGCCAGAGAGCCACGATTGCATTATCCTCCCAGGAGAGTGATAATTCAGACAGAACCCTGTCCAACAACATCACTGTTCCCAAGATAGAGCGTGCCAACAGCTACTCAGCAGAGGAGCCAAATGTGCCATATGCACATACCAGGAAGAGCTTTTCCATCAGTGACAAACTCGACAGGCAACGGAACACAGGAAGCCTGCGAAACCCCTTCCAGAGGAGTAAGTCCTCCAAGCCAGAAGGCCGAGGGGACATCCTGTCCATGAGGAGATTGTCCAGAGCGTCTGCTTTCCACAGCTTTGAAAGCAAGCACAACTAAACCTTCTTGATGTGTATTGCAGGAGGCTCCATAACCCAGCCCTAAAATCTCCCTGAACTCCACCTTTCCCTCCTTCCTTGAATCACACCTACTTTTTACTTAACAAGCAATGCTTTGGGAGATGTTAACTTAACTCAAAGGTGGGAGTCCCTGGGTGGTACAAACATTAACTCACTCAGCTGCTAACTCGAAGGTTAGGGGTTCGAGTCCACCCAGGGGGCCCTTGAAAGCAAGCCCTGGTGATCTACTTCTGAAAAGTCACCCACTGAAAACCCTATGGGGCACAGTTCTACTCTGACACACATGGGGTCACTATGAATCAGTGGCAACTCCATGGCAACTAGTAACTCAAAGTGACTTCTGGGCCACAGGTCAAGAAAACAATTGACCCAGTGACAAACAGAGGGGTTTTCAGTTGTGTACATGCTTGCTGGGGAGGGATGGGGAAAAAGGGAGAAGAAGAGTTAGAAATGAATGTGTATCACCAGTCACTTCAGACAGCCGTGTGCTTTGGGGACGGAAGGGGCTTCAAGCATTCTCCATGCCAGGAGGCATCTTTTGATTTCTGACCATTATCAAGAGGCGTAGGATGCAGGACTAGATTGCAAACTAAAATAAGATAGCCAGCATACAAATGAGATATTCTAAACTTCAATTCTGTTTTCTTTTCACATTGGCTCCATCACTGTGGTGACTGATGAAGAGCATCCTTTTTATTCAGTATAAGCCGGCAGCAAGCAGTTCTCCTAACGTCCCACATCCTTCTCATGCCAACACTTCTGTAATTGATCATTATAAAGAAAAAAACAAGGTAACAGTCATAGTTCACCTGTCTCTTATATATTCACTTCTGGTGCCACAAATGTTTATCTTTTTGGAAGAAAATGAGGGAAAAGAAATGCCTTTTTGTATTGCAATTCAAAATGAAAGAATTGATGTTAAAAACAAATGTCAAGTGATTTATTATGTACAGTGGGCATTCAAGTATAGTTGAGCAAGCTCAGGATGAATGTAATTAAATAATTTTATATTTTTAATTTATTTTGTATCTCACTTGTCATCGTTGAATTCACTTACTGAATCTGTAATGTTAAACTAAGGGAAAAAAATAGTGGGCAAAACTAAAAATTTCCATATGGGATATTGCTATATTCCCACCACTCATGTCCTGTGTTTTGCTGCTGTGTGACTGTCATCATTTGCATGACTCCATCATGTCTTCTAAACACCTCCAAGATGTAACTGCCAATTTTTCATACCACCCATCACACGACCATTTTATACATGAGTAAGTGGTTATATGTGGATATTTTCATACCTAGAGTTTTGCCATCTAATCTGAGCTCAGCATAAATTTAATTAAAGTTTTTCAAGGGATGATTTTTTCTTTTTTATGAAAAAGTTCCAAAGTGCTTTTTAAGGAAATTTCAAAACCATAAATAACTTTAGAATTGACTAGGACTTTGGTATCCACCCAAAGCCATCAGTTGCAAACATACCATGAATATTTTTCTTATATGCAGAACTATAAAAAAAAAAAGTACACTAGACCAAAATAGAAAACAAATAAACCATATAAAGCATCCTATAATATATGCTGTTTATATACACATATATTCATTTACACAGTCATGTTTATATATAGTATATAAACAGACATATAGAGCTTTCTTAAGAGGCTTGGATTTTCTATCACCTTAATGTATAACTAGGATTTTTTAATATCCAAGGAATTCCATTGAAAGAGTTTATTATATTATTAGACCAAATGTTGAATTTGTGATTTTTTTTTAAACCCCATGACCTTAACTTTTCCTAGTACCAAGCTAGAGTTGCCCAAACTACTCCCTTCCTGCCCTCTGCCCCTTTTTATCTGAGAGCACTCATGATTATAACATCTTGTTTAGCTTTGTTTTCTCCTGTACAAAGCTGTTACACCAAGTGTAAACTGAATAAACATGCAATTCTAAACTACTTATAGACACTAGAATATAGGCACAGCTTCTAGATGAGAATTTGGATTTGAAGTGGGAAGAAGAAATCTTGACCCCAAACTTTCAAAATCCTATTTTGACCCTCATTGGGTTTCCAAAGCGGTAGATCCTTATGGAAGTAGATTGCCCCATCTTCCTTCTGCGGAGCAGCTGGTGGGTTTGAGCCGCCAACCTTCTGGTTAGTCGTCAAATGCCTTAGGCACTGCACCACCAGCACTCCTTATTTAGATCAACAGGATTTACAAAAAAGGATGAAAGCTTTAAGAAAATAATTAAATGCTCCTGGCCCCAGATACTAGTTTCTATTATTTAGTTGTAGATATGAATTCCAGTTTCATCTCATTTTGTAAACTCAAATAAAGACACAGACAAAACCTTTAGCCTTGAAGTATTTAAAAGGAAAAAAAAAAAACTTTCTGAGCAAGCTTTTCAAATATGGAAAGAGTGATAAGGTCACGTACGTAAGGAATTAAGTAATTCCTTTTGCACTCCTTGGTATTTAGATGAATCAGAAACACTCAAGCAAGGCGGCTATAGGTTGTCACTCACTTCCTTTAATTCCTCTGGAGACACTTGCGTTTTTTGTTGAGCCCCACATTGACTGTTCCCCTCAGAAGACACATTTGGTCTGAGAATAAATCAGTTGCTCCTAACCTTCCTTGAGTTGTGAATCCCTACAACAATCGAATGAGCGCCTTGGTCTTTTCTCCCAGGGAGAGGGAATATATATACATACAAAGTTTTCATTATAACTTTTAAACTGGTCATGAACCCCTGGTTCCATGTTTGATTTACACTGAGGACAAGGAATCTTGTTTGTTCATAATCAGTATAATTGTAATAGGCACTTTACATTTCGAGACCATTTCTCTGTGATTCTCAGGAAGGCCAAGTCTCAGCACCAGAGTTGGAACCAAGATTTCACTATTTTCATTCTTTAGATGAGAATGTTGCTACTTTGATGTACTTAATGTCCTAATATTTTGATGATTTTAAGTAGTGAGCACATTTACAAAGCCAGAAGGCTCTCTGAGGGAGTGTGTAGAGGAATCCACGGAGGAGGTGAAACCATTAGTCTTTGACCACAGAGCAGGACGTCACAGCACCTCCAGGACCACATCCTGGACCGGAGTCAAGACTGGAAGTGAAGGGAAGAAATTATGAGCATGCATGTTTCCATTCATCATGATTTCTGGAGAGAAAATACCAGTCCTTGGGAAACAAAATAATGAGTAGTCTTGACTTTAGGACTACCTGGTTGTTTTGTTTTGCATGAAAATTAAGTTCTAACATCTTTTGTGAAGTGTGTGGAATATATAAGCCGAACTTAAATGACTTTAAACCCAAATGGTGTCACTTTCTTGAGCCATGTCTTTTTGGTGAACATACATGTATGTCATTTTTCAGTCCATTTCTTTCCACATCTGGGTTCTTTGAACAACAGTGTGGCATTGATTCTGTGGCCTTGTATCGTCAACTGATGCTCAGCTCATTTATTCCACAATGTCCCTGGTTGAGGGGACATTAATTACCTGTCTCTGTGAATTAGGAAGCTCATGAGCAGCAAGTTATTGAAGAACATAAATAAAGTCATAGAGAGCCCAAGGAAGTAATAGATTTGGTTTAATCATCTGCTTCTAATGTGCCAATTTTTATATACTGCCATATGCAATGATTTGTTCTAAATTGCTTCTTCCTTTTGGGAAAAAAAAATAGAGAGAAAAATATTTTATGAAAATGACCATGGAGATTTCTTGATTAACAAACACACTTATATTTATAGTTAAAAACTCCCTCCTTAATGAATTAGAACAAGGAGCTGAAAAGCTTGGGGCAATTGGTGTGGCTAGTTTTTTTTTATTACTCCAAGCCGAATGGTGTATTAGCCATCAGAATGCAGCACTTTATAGAACTGGATGTTTTTTTAAAGTCTAAGCTTCCAGGTCTAGAATATTATTTAGCACTTTGAAAGTTCCCTTTAAAAAAATTCTATATATATATATATATATATATATACATATATATGTTTGAATAATCAAAAATGTCCTCATAAAAACACAAAATGTGTTTTGTCTGAATGTTCCAAATGTATCCTGAAATATGGTTTCTATAGGTAATATTATGGTAGATAACTGGATAGTACATTTATTCTGCTTTTTGAGGCTGTGTAGTCTAATCTTCCTGAGCATTTAGACTGTTTAGCTTCTTTAATGATAGTAAATATTATCCAGTCATCCATCATGTTATATCTATAGGCTATTCCATTCCATATATTGGGCAATGCTGTATTATAAAACACATGTAAACATATATGTAACCCATGTTTAACCCAGCACAGTTGTAGCATGTGGTTGTATTAATGAACGTTACAGGCAGCTTTATAATCATTTATAAATCTGTAACATTCAATAAAGAAGCACATGTTGCAAGGATTAATTATGTTCCCAATCCATGTTATTTGGCATCCTTGTGTAACAGGCATTTTTGTTCCTGATCTGCTTTATATTTTTTCACACTTCTACAGACCACTGTAAAATATTTGTATAAGCTGATGTCCATCCTCTAACTAGCCTTCTGAGCTGTGGTAGGCAAGTTGTGATTTTCTGAAAGATGAACTGGCATGTTATGCAAAAACTATATGACATATGAACTTAAAATACTATTTGAAACTTCAGTTGAATTAGCTATTTGTTTACAGATGCTGGCCAAATGTGGAGGCAGTGTACAGTATTTTATAAATATATTCATTTAGTAACACTATGTCATTTCTAGATAAAGTGATGCTAGTGGGTAGGTGGTTATATACTTGTCCTAGCTATTGCATTATAACTCATTGTTCTTTAACAATAACAATGTGACTTAAAGGAAGTAATCCCTCTCCAAATCCAGTCTTAATTTTGTGGCAACAAAAATGCATGCACTGCTTTATGCATTTCTTTTGATTTTTAGAAAGCACTTAGAATTATACTATTGCCTGCTGCAATGCTTAAACCAGTTAGGAGCTCA